ATTGGTTAATTATCACAGGCAATCATGGGTAGATCGGCAAAAATTAACCAATCATATGAATGTCTTCCTATGAAGTTGACCCTGATTCAGGGTCAACTTTATTTAATATAAGCTTATGCATGATCAGATATTCTAGATTTTCGAATTTTTTTTTTTTTTTTTTATTTAAACTTTTAATCAATGACGACAAAAAAATCTAAGAATTTGAGAATGCATTTAGGGAGAATAAAAATAAATAAATAAAATAATAGCGATAGTGATAGTGTTATTTTTGTTTTTTTTAAGGGTGCTTATGATTTTAGCGATGTAACCAAGAGAAACGTGTATTTGGCGTGATTGGCGTGTGTATGTTTGCTGTTGGAGGTTGTGGAACGATAATATTTGTAAATCAATTTTGTAATATTAGTACATTAGTCAATTATAAAAAGCAATATAATTTGTGTGACATATATATCTAATGCTAACTGATAATGTTTGGTTTAATTATTGTTCCAAAGCAAAAGGTTATAATAGAGTTGTCAAAAGCTTTATGATGACATTACACATATAAAACATATAAAGTACGTACATACGCAATTCAAGTTCCGAAATATTTTGAGGTTGAAAGAAAAAAAAAACGATCGATTTTTTTATTTATTATTGGCGTTAATGTCTTCTCCACCTATAATATTTGTTGACGATTATGACTTTAACATTACTAATGATAATAATGATACCATAGATTCAACTAATTCTTTATTACCATCTACTTTTAATAGTAATAATAGTAATGTAAGACTTTCATCATCTTATCGTTGGATGATCTTATTAGGTTTTTCTTTACTTACATTTTCTTCAGCATGTTTATGGATAACATTCGCTCCATGTTTATACATTTTCATGTCTTATTTTTCCCAATCTCCTTCTAGTATAAATTCTTTATCATCTGTTTACATGATAATGTATCCAATTTTATTAATTCCTTCTATAAACTTTTTTAATACTTATGGAGTAAAATGTAGTGTAATTTTTGGTGCATTTTTAAATTCTTTGGGTGCTTTCTTTAGATTTTTAGGTTCATTAAATAGATCATATATAGGATTTTGGGTTTTATTTTTTGGTCAAGCCATAGCTTCAATTGCTCAACTTTTTATATTAAGTGTACCTCCAA